CTTACAAGCCCACTAATCCCGCTAACCATTACATCTGTATGGGCCTTGGGCCACTCCCCCTACGTGTGGACTTGCAGAAAGCAACTCGCAGTTTCGCGAGGGCCGTTCGGAGGCTAGCCAGGAGTTCGTCTCGTCTGTGCTACGCAGAAGTCGAAGGAGGCACAACCCTCCTCCTTGCGCCGCTTGGAGGCGGGCGAGCTTAACCTCGCCCGCCCCGCCGTTCGCCCAGCGCTCCGTTGAACGCTCCGACCAAGAGTCGATCGCGCCTAGCGTTGGTCGGGTGCGGTGGGGGCTCAGAGCGAAGACGGGGGGAGGAGGAGCATGATAGCACGTAATAACTAAGTCATAGTTTCCACCAGCCCCGCCGAGCCACTGGAAAAGGAGGAGTCATGAGAATGAGGAATGGGAGAAAGAGCAGGAGGGGCAGGATGCATGTCAAATCGCATGTCTACTCTGAATGTTGCTGTTGCCAAGCTGACTAGAGGAGGGTGGAGGGTGGCGGGAAGAGGTAGGAGGAGGCGGAGGAGGAAGAGGATAATCTATGGGGCCGAAGGAGGACGACGAGACGGCTTAGAAGGAGTATTAAGAGGATGAGGGGATGAGGCGAACGAGAGGAGGGGGAGAAGAGGGCGGAGGAGGGCGGAGGAGGAGGAGGCGGAGAAGGCGGAAGACGAGCAGCAGGAATAGCAGGAGGTATCTCCACCCAACATATTTGTTTCGAACGTATTGTTGTGCCGTGCCGCCTTCCCCTTTGCGTGGTCAGGCTGGCTTTGGTTCACGATGAGTCCGCGGGGGTACACGTTTTCTTTTTGTGTGTTGTGTGTGGTTGTGTGCAGTTATGTGTGTGTGTGTTTCTTCGCCCTGTCGCTGCTCGCAGGGCGTGACGCGACGTCAGTGTATGTGTGTGTGTGTGTGTGCGTGTGTGCGTGTGTGCGTGTGTGCGTGTGTGCGTGCGTGTGTGCGTGTGTGTGGGTGCGTGTGTGTGTGTGTGTTTGTGTGTCTAGGTGTTTGTGTGTGTGCGCGCTCGTGTGTATGTGCATGTGCGCGTGCGTGTTCGTGCGCGTGCTCGTGCGCGTGTGCGTCTACGTGTGCGTGTGCGTGTGCGTGTACGTGTGCGTGCGTGTGCGTGTGCCGCGCGCGTGCGCGTGATTGTGCGTAGGCGAGGCGTGCGTGCTCGTGCGTGTGCGCGTGCGTGTGCGTGTGCGTGTGTGGTGAGAGTGCTTCAGGGTGGACGTTCTGGGCGTTCCAGGAAGGAACGTTTGCGTCCGCACGGCGTCAGTTCTGTGGTGTGTTGTGAGGTGCCCCGTTGAGTGCGTTGCGCAGAGCGTTTCAGAAGTGGTGCCCTGAAATCATTATGCGGGCGCTGATCGGCGGAGGGTTTGGGGCGTTGACAGCACAGCATCAGACAATACAACGCAGAGACATGAAAACACATGTTGAAAGCCACACGTAAGCCCTACAAGCGCTGTTGGAAAGCGACATGTTTGGGCAAGCCTGGTGGGCAAAGTATATACGAATTTAGTCCATGCCACACCAAAGCCCCCTATCCATGAAACTGATCCGCATAAGCTCAAGGTGCGTCTGGGGAGGCAAGTTCGCGGGCGCGACGGGACTGCCCCAGACGGTCCATGATGGTTCCAAGAAGGCCCCACGAGAGGTCCCGAGGAGACCCACGATTGCTTATTTAAATTCTGCTTGTTCTTTTTGTCGTGCGGCACTTGGTCAATGCCCCTGCCGAATTAAGAAATGTGGCGTTCAAAATTTCGTTTGCAGGAAAGTATGCGACCGCCCCCCGCCAAATTTACTCATGCCAAGCTTATTTGTTCGCTCAGCGGGAAGTCTGGGACGGGGTCCCCGTGGTGCCTTCGCCATCACAAATGCCGCGAATTGCGCAGCTCCTATCATAAATGGCAGCAACAGCGCAGCAACAGCGCTGAGCAATTTCCGGGCACGCCAATGCCAAACTCAAAAAAGGCAAGCATGTTGTTTTCGCTCTCGGGGGTAAAACGCTCAGCGCCTCCGCCAAACAAACTATGTCAGAATGAAAATTTCGTTTGCAGGGCATTTGGGCGCGGTGCCTTCGCCAATTTGAGTTTGCGACAATTAATAACTTGACAGTGGACCGCCAAGACTGGTTGAAGACTGCCCAAGATGACTGCAAGACGGGGTAAGGGTAACAAGTTCCCTCCGACGTATCCTCAAGAGGCCCCGTAGAAGCAAAACACATGGATTTCATCGCTTCCGGTTTTGGCACACGCGCCTTCTCCGTGGTCAGAGCCTTCACGACGGCCCAGGGGCCCAACGTACCCCAAGACGAACGGGGGCCCAAGACGATTTGCGAGGGCCTCAGGAGGGTGTCCCAACAGCCCGCGACAGCCCCAACAAGACCCAGCAGGGCCTCCAGACCGCTCCAACAAGCCCCCGAAACGGCCCAGACAGGCCCGACACGGCCCAAGCGGGCCCCAATACGCTCCATCAAGCCCACCAGACGGCCTCGCAACGGCTCCAAGAGATCCCCAGAACGGGCCATGGAGAGCGAAGAGGAGGAGGAACAGGCGGACGAGGACGGACGAGGGAGAGGAACATGTGCTCAATGGTGGAGGATGGGGCCGAGGGGGGGCGCGGGCCCGACGAGGGATCAGGAGGGAGGCATCCCCGCCCCGCGGGAGCGACGGGGCTGCGCTGGCGGCTGGCCGAGGATGCTGCAGAGCGACTCGCTGCAGATGAACATGAAGTTGCGGAACCGCAGAGCGCTGCAGTCCGAGGGGGGGGGGGCGACGCAGGACTCATTTCGATTCCTCCGATTCGAGTCGACTTCGATGGCTTCCGATTCCGACTCGATTCGACCTCGGATTCTGAGTCGGGCTCCGATTCCTCAATGGAGGCCCCGCAGCTCGCCGAGTTCCGCCGACTCGGCATCTCCCAGCTTGGCTGCCGATTTCCGCCGATCCGACTCATCTCGATCGCCAGTCCGACGTCTCGATTGGATTCTGGGCTCTCCTGGGCGGGGAGCCCCGCGCCCTGCCGCCGGAGCGGTACCTCGAAGCGGGGGCGGGGGGGGATGGCGTCAGAGGGGGGGCGAGTCGAGACAGCGGCAGTTGGCCTTCCAGGGGGGGGGCCCTCGTCGCCACGGCCGGACGCGGCTCGGGAAGCTGGTGCGTTTGGACCTTGGGAAGGGGTCCAGGGGTCGACTTTCAATCCAGGGGGGAGGCCCTCGTCGCCACAGCTGGACGCGGCTCGGGAAGCTAGTGCGGTTGGACCTTGGGAAGGGGTCCAGGGATCGGTTTTTTCAGTTGCCGTTGTCTCGTGTTCGCCCTGCTCCGACGGCCTCTCTCGCCTCCTGGTCGCTCTTCCTCGTCGTCCTCCTTCGTCCTGCCTGGCCGTGGCGGGACACAGCGTGGATTCTCGGCGAGCCGGGGCGCAGGATGGACAGGCAAACAGGAGCGAGAGACTTCCCACCACCATCAATCAGTCATCCACTTCCTCCAATACCATGGAGACGACGGGGACCAGCTCCCAGGCCACCAGGCGCGGAAGATGAAGGCAGGGAGCGAAACGATGGTCTGGACGTGAGCTACTTTTCCTCCCTGCGCCGAAGAACAAATAACTGCATAAACGTAAGTGTTCGGATTTCTTGGATCGGCGCTTGGCCCCCTGGCGCGCTCCATGCGCCGGGGAGGGGGGTCCAGTGCCGATCCAAGAAATCAGTGCGGGCCTCCGAGACATCGTGTTTATACCATTGTTTGCCCGCCGATTCTCCATCCTGCATTTTGATGTTTGCTTCCAGAGGAAAGGCCTCGCGTAACTCGGCGAGTCCGCAAAGGATGTTACGTTTTGGACGCGATTTGGCGTGGGGTCAAAAAGCATAGTGATCTCGGCCAGGTGAAAGCCGCGGGGAGTGGGGCGAAAGGTTGGGGCTTCCAGACATTTCGATAACGGACAGTACGGGGACCTCGGGATCCCCATAGATGTCGCCGCACGGACCGTCACCGCACGGTTTCGCGGCCTCGGCGGCCCGAATATATCGTTGCACCGTCAGTCGCCCGAGGCACCATTAGAGAAGGCCAAGGTCCCGGCCACCCCGAATCCTAACTGACCCACCACACGGTGTGGTCACTGCAGCTTCTCGCGGGGGAGCCAGAAAAGGGGGCGAGGGATCTTGCGACAAGGGAGAGGAGAGATGGGGGCCGCCCCCCGTGTCCACACACAAACACACACTCACGTACATACTACGACTACTACTACTACTACTACTACTACTACTACTACTACTTCTACTACTACGACGACTACTACTACTACTACTACTACTACTACTACTACTACTACTACTACTACTACTACTACGACTACGACTACGACTACGACTACTACTACTACTACTACTACTACTACTACTACTACTACTACTACTACTACTACGACTACTACTACTACTACTACTAATAATAATAATAATAATAATACTGCACACGCACACACACACACGCCGGATTTTGAAGATTACGGAAGTGCTTGGTTGACCGTGCGCAGAAACGCCATACCTGTAACTTGTTGTGGGGCTGCAGGCTAAACTGCCCTTTGACATGTGTTCCCCCCCCGCCAGCGTGCCGGCCGATCCCCTGTCAAGTCGGCGTGCTGGCCCTTTGCCGGACCATCGGCAATCAAATCGTTCTGTTGCGCTACATTGTGTTTCACGTTCAGGTGTGGCCCTGCCTTGCCACACATGCCTTTACCCGCTCTCCCTCCCACAGAGCCCCCTTCCCTCTCTCTCTATCGTCGTCCTAGGAGTCCTGGGCATGCACCTGATGAGACGACATACTATACCTCCTCGAATCAATTGTCAAATAATTGCCGAATCATTATGCTAACCTCTTGTTCTTCTTGCCCTAAGCTTTCTGTTTCATGTCGTTGCCAGCTGCCACTGCCGCCCCCCGCGCCCCCAGCAGTTGAGCATGGGATGCTCACCAGGGTCGTTGAAGCCATCTGGTTGACCTGCATAGGGCTTCTCGCTGTAGATTGATATCCTGTCTACTTCACTACCGCCAGCACGCCCCGGCAACCATAACGAATTCGTGCATGCATGCAATTTTCCCTTGTGGCTGTCGACGGCGTATCTGCGAACCGTTGTCACCAGCTTTGAGCCCTTCCTCTCCGGACTTCCTGCAACGCACGATTCCCCTTGAGTACAGGGGCCCCACGACACACACCTCTCTCACTCGCACGCACATACGCACACGCACACACACACACACACGCACACACGAGGGGGAGGGGCGGTCTGCGTCACGGTTCGCGCGGCGTCGCAGACAACGAGAAGTTAAGTTCGGAGTTTTTCTTTGCACAGTGGCGTTTCTGGGGTGCGGGCGTGTCGGCAGGTCGCTCATGTCGGAGTACGTTAGTTCCGTCGTTGTCAGCCCGCAGCTCGTGAGGCACATCTGCGAGGAGGCACGCTTCCCCTCCCCGTCCCGCTTCGCTTTCCGTCTCCGAGGCCTCCCTCGCGTAAGTATCTTCCCTGATGTCCCTCCCCCCGTCCATCTCCCTCCTCTTCGCCTCCCCCTTCTCGCGCTCCCTTCCATGCCTCCTCCCGCAGTCCTGCCTCGCCCACCCTCTCGTCCCTGACAGACCAGTCCGTGCTCCCTCCCCTATCTCTCGGGCCGCTTGAGCTCGGCCGTGTGCGACGCGAACTATCGATGCCGCTTCAGAATGGCACCCCGTGTTCTTTACTACTCGCGTAAGTCATGTTCGAGCGGAGCCAAGGCTGTGACCGATCGCAGCGACAGTGCAGATGGCAACGAGGCAACGGAATGCGGTTATTGGGGAAGAAGGTATCCCCGCTCGTAGCTGACGTGGCGTGTTCTTGGTGGCGTGCGACCGGTTGAAGTTGTTGATGATGTTGTTGTTGATGATGGTGACGATGACGATGACGATGACGATGATGATGATGATGATGATGATGATGATGATGATGATGGTGGTGGTGGTGGTGATGATGATGGTGATGATGATAGTGATGATGTTGATGATGATGATGATGATGATGATGATGATTATGATGATGATGATAATGCTGATGCTGATGCTGATGATGCTGGTGATGGTGATGGTGATGGTGATGATGACGAGTACGATGACGATGACGATGACGATGATGATGACGATGACGATGACGATGACGATGATGATGATGATGATGATGATGATGATGATGATGATGATGCTGATGATGCTGATGATCATGATGTTGACGATGACGATGACGATGATGATGATGATGATGATGATGCTGCTGCTGCTGCTGCTGATGATGATGATGATGATGATGATGATGATGATTATGATGATGATGATGATGATGATGATAATGGTGGTGGTGGTGGTGGTGACGAGGAGGAGGAGGAGGCACACAGGGAGCAGGACGAGGACGTGGACGAGGAGAAGGAGGCTGATGGCGAAGGGTGATCTGTGGGGAGCAGCGGCAGGAGGAACACCAGAACGAGGGAAGGAGGAGGAGAGTGAGCAGGACAAGGAGATGCGATGGTATGTCGGGAACACGATAACTGGTTTATGGAATATGAGGTCAACTAAATAACTGATTTGCCCCAGAAGTGTTTGCTCGTCGAACCTCAGGCAAATCTTCATTCTTCGTATACCAGCGAAATTATACGTATGTTCTGTAGGTTCGACGAACAAATATTGCTGGGTCAGCTCAATTCTGTAGGCGATCTCCTTTTCGAGCGATGCCAGGTTTAGCGAGAGAACGTCCAAGGCACGTGATGAGGACGGCCCCCCCCCCGCCAGGTCGGACTAGCAGCGAGAGCTGTGATGTAGCGTCGAGGGTCCGACGAAGGCATTTGTCCCGCTGCGTGCGGCCGCCTCCCCTGCTCCCAGGAGATCAACGAGACATACCTCGACTACTTGACGGAGTTGAACCGGACCCGTCGCCTTCTTGTGCAGCCTCGTCTTCCATGCCGCGGTTTGCCGTCGGCGTCGTGCCTGCAGGGCCACGCGTCACATTGAGAACGCATGTTGGGTAAGGGGTGGACCGAAACGGTGTTTTGGCGATTTCGTGTGCCGTTGTCGTTTCGATGTCGTTTTGCAGCGAAGGCGAATTCGAGACAAAACGAGGGAAAGCGAAAACAAAACGAAAACGAAAAACATTGTTTAGGTCCAGCCCTGTGTTGGGTGTTTCTTTCTGTGCAAGGGCTGCTCACGGGCGCTTTCCGGGGGATCGCCTGGGGCCAGGCCGCATTGGGCGGCGCCGCCCCGCCGCTCCAGGGCGGCGCCACCCCGAACAGTAAATACCGATATATCAGAGTGAGGGGGCCGAACGGTCATTCATTGTCCCTGGGTGCGTGGCTGAAGTGAGAATCCGTGGTGAGGATTCTGCTTGTTGCGTTGTCGTTGTTGTTGTTGTTGTCGTTGTTGTTGCTGCTGTTGCTGCTGCTGCTGTTGTTGTTGTTGTTGTTGTTGAGCTTTCATTTCTGAATAATAGTTCTTGTTGATCCCCCCCGCCCGGTGCACATTATATTTTTTTCGATTCAAGGGATCATCCTGGGGCTCGCACCTTGTTTTTCTATCAGGGAAAGTCTTGAGGGTCAAACTGTGTCGTTGGCCCCCGGTTCACAGCAACAACAACGGCTCCCGCCTGATTATTCCTCAATTTATTGAAGAATCGCGGTCTCGTTTGGGACTTCTTGGCAATTTACCACCGAATCGCGGCTCCCGCTTTATACTTCCTGACAATTTATTTCAGAATCGCTTTCTCGCTTGGGACTTCCTCGCAACTTACCACCGAACTGCTTCGCTTGGTATTTCCCCACAATTTATTCAGATGCCGGTCCTCGACACTCAGGAATGGCGCTCCCGCTGCATGTTGCCTGGCGGTTCAAGCAGGACTCACGCTTCAACGACCCACTTGCTCAACCCGCCCGTCGGGGCCTGCCCGCCCGACCAGCCCGTCAATGACTGCAGTCGCCGCTCGCTGCCCTTCGCCCGCCTTCGATGCCCCTCGCTGCCCGTACTGCTTCCGCGGTCGCCTTCGCTCGCTGCCCTTCGTGGCCCCGTTGCTGCCCTCAGTGGCCCCGTCGCTGCCCTTTGCGGCCCCGCATTATATGCCCTTCGTTGCCCCCGCTCGCACGCGCCCGTCGTGGCCCCATACGCATGCCCTTCGTAGCCCCGCTGTAGCTCTTCGTGGTTCTCTCGCTGCCCTTCGTGGCCCCTTTGCTGCCCGCAGAGGCCCGCTGTCGCCCATCGTGGCCCCGTATATGACTGCCCTTCGTGGTCGCCGCTCGCTCGCGCCCGTCGTGGCCCCATATGTATGCCCTTCGTGGCCGCGCTGTCGCCCTTCGTGGCCCCCGTCGCTGCCCTCTGCGGCCTCGGATTTTGTGCACTTCGTGGCCCACGCTGGTTTTCTCACGATTTACTTGGGTATCGCGCTATCGCTCGAGACTTCCTCGAGATTGATGCAGGACCCACGCTTCAGCAACCCGCCTGCTCGACCTCGTCGCCTGGGCTCGCCTTCCCGACCTGCCCGCTATGGGTCTGCCCACCCGATCTGCCCGTCTGGTTCTACCACTTGTTTTCTGCTCCTTGCCCCCCTCCTGCTAATTTCTCTCGTGCTCCACTCTTCTCCCTCCCCCTCCCATCCGTCCTCTCTTCCCTTGTCTTAGGGGCTGCACTAAATACACGTGGCCGGCAAGGAAGATACACCCCCAAGCGGGTACGATCGAAGACGACGAGGGCGGTTACCGAGGGTTTGGGATATACGTTTTGATTGGCACGTGAGCGGATATGAGCGAACAGTCTCAAAAGAAGTGTTGTTGTTGATGTTGTTGTTGATGTTGTTGTTGTTGGTGGTGGTGGTGGTGGTGTTGGTGTTGGTGTTGGTGTTGGTGTTGGTGTTGGTGTTGGTGTTGGTGTTGGTGTTGTTATTGTTGGTGTTGCTGGTGTTGTTGGTGTTGCTGGTGTTGCGTGTATTGCTGTTGCTGTTGTTGTTGCTGTTGCGGTTGCTGTTGCTGTTGCTGTCGCTGTTGCTTGTTGTTGCTTGTTGCCGTCGTCCCCCCCCCCCCCGCGACCCACCCGCGGCCCACCCCGCGACCCACCCCGCGACCCACCCCGCGACCAATCCGCAACACACCCCGAGACCCACCCGAGCCCCACCCGCGACCCACCCCCCGCGACCCACCCCTCGACCCATCCGCGACCCACCCGCGACCCACCCGCGACCCACTTGCGACCCACCCGCGACCCACCCCGCGACCCACCCGCGACCCACCCGCGACCGATCCACATTGGTTTGAAAAAATCGGCGCCTGCTGCGGGCTCGTTGTATAAGTTGTGAAACGTTGCGCCTGCGGCGGGCTTCTCAAGAGTCTCGCAGACTGCCGACGTCCCCACCCCTCACTCTTATCCGCATCTGCGGGGGGCTACGTAATTGCGAAAAAGCGTGTTCTACAGCTGCTGGCGGAAAACCTGGGAGGGTCACTGGGGGTTCCCAACCCGTCCCCCCGCCCCCCCCCAGAAAACCGGCGGGGGGTCACTACCAGTTCGAACCCCTCCCCCCCCCGTCCATCATGAAAAGGGGTGGTCTTTACCCCACCCTTCGAAAACCGGGGAGCGGTCACTACCGGTTCGAACCCCCCTCCCCCCCCTCTCGCCGCCGGCAAACGATTCCCGCTCCTCAGGACAGTTGGGCAATGGTGGGGATACTGGGACAGTGGTGGACAGTTGGGCAATGGTGGGGACACTGGTGCGGGGACAGTGGGACAGTGGTGCGGGCAGCGGTGGGGACGGTGGTGGTGGTGGGGACAGAGGTGAGGGGACAGCGGGACAGTGGTGGGGGCAGTGGGACAGTGGTGGGGACGGTAATGGTGGGGACAGTGGTGAAGGCGGTGGTTGGTGAGGGCAGTGGTGGGACACAGTAGTACAGTGGGGACAGTGGTGGGTGGGGACAGTGGGACAGGGGGGGACAGTCGGGACGGTGGGACAGCACAGTGGGGCAGCGGCGGGGACAGTGGGACAGTGGTGGGTACAGTGGGGACAGTGGGGACAGTGGTGGGGTTCGTGGGGAAAGTGGGGAGAGTGGGCTCGTGGTGGGACAATGGTGGAGAAAATGGTGACAGGGGGACACTGGTGGGGCATTGGTGGGGACAGCGGGGACAATGGTGGGAACAGTTGGGACAGTGGGACAGTGGTGGGGACTGTGGGACAGTGGTGGGGACGGTGGTGGTGGGGACAGTGGTGTGGGGACAGTGGGAATGTGGTGGGGACAGTGGGACAGAGGTGGGGGCGGTGGTGGCGGGGACAGAGGTGAGCGCGGTGGCGAGGACGGCGGTGGGACAATGGGACAGTGGTACAGTGGGGACAGTGGTGGGGACAGTGGTGGGAACAGTGGGACAGCTCAGTGGGACAGCGGCGGGGACAGTGGGACAGTGGTGACAGTGGGACAGTGGTTGGGGCCATGGGGAAAGTTGGGAGAGTGGGACCGTGGTGGGACAATGGTGGGGAGAGTGGTGACAGGGAGACACTTGTGGGGGCACTGGTGGGGACAGCGGGGACAATGGTGGGAACACTGGGGACAGTGGGACAGTGGTGGGGACTGGGGACGGTGGGACAGCACAGTGGGACAGCGGCGGGGACAGTAGGACAGTGGTGGGTACAGTGGGGACTGGGACAGTGGTGGGGACCTTGGGGAAAATGGGGAGAGCGGGGCCGTGGTTGGACAATGGTGGGGAGAGTGGTGACAGGGAGACGTTGGTGGGGGCTCTGGAGGGGACAGCGGGGACAATGGTGGGAACAGTGGGGGCAGTGGGACTGTGGTGGGGACTGTGGGACAGTGGTGGGGACGGCGGTGGTGGGGACAGTGGTATGGGGACAGTGGGAATGTGGTGGGGACAGTGGGACAGTGGTGGGGACGGTGGTGGTGGGGACAGTGGTGAGCGCGGTGGCGAGGACGGCGGTGGGACAATGGGACAGATGTACAGTGGGGACAGTGGTGGGGACAGTGCTGGGAACAGTGGGACAGCTCAGTGGGACAGCGGCAGGGACAATGGGACAGTGGGACAGTGGGGACAGTGGGACAGTGGTTGGGGCCGTGGGGGGAAAATGGGGAGAGTGGGACCGTGGCGGGAACAGTGGTGGGGACAGTGGGGACAGTGCGACAGTGGCGGGCGCACTGGTGGGGACAGTGGGGACGGTGGTGGGAACAGTGGGGACAGTGGTGGTGAGGACAGTGGTGCTGGGGACAGAAGTGGGGGATGTGGTGCGGACTGTGGTAAGGGCCCGGGAGTCATTTGCCGGCGGTGAGCGCGGGGGGGGGGAGGGGTTCGAACCGGTAGTGACCCCCCGGTTTTCTGGAGGGGGGGGGTTCGAACCAGTAGTGGCCCCCCCCCCCGGTTTTCTGGAGGGGGGCGGGGGAAGGGGTTCGAATTGGTAGTAACCCCTCATGTTTTTTTTGTTGGGGGGGGAGGTGTTCGAACCAGTAGTGACCCCCCCCCCGGTTTTCCGAAGGGGGGGGGGGGGGGTTCGAACCGGTAGTGACCCCCCGCCGGTTATCCGGAGGGGGTGGGGGGGGGGTGGGGGGGCGGGGGGGAGGGGTCCATGGGGGTGGGTCCAGCAGGAGGGCCATTTTCGGAGGGGGTGGGACCCCCCGGTTCCGGAATAAGAGGGATAATTATCCACAGTAAAGCGGCTGTGGATCACGCTCTCTCGTGTATATATATATATATACATGTATATACATGCATATATGTATGTTTGTATGTATGCATGGTTGTATGTATGGTGGTGTTTGTATGTATGTATGCATACATGTCTGTATGTGTCTATGTATGTATATGTGCATGCATGCCTGTCGGTCTGTATGTTTGTCCGTCAGTCTTTTAGCCTGCCTGCCTGTCTGCCCGTCTGTCTGCCTGTATGTATGTCTGTGTGTATGTATGACTGCATGGTATACATGCATGCATGCATGCAAACATGAATGCATGCATGCATGTATGTATGTACACTCATGTATGGAGAGATACTGGTCTTGCTGGAGAAATCCATTACAATGAATTCCAAAGGTGCTTTGGGTGTTGGTAGGGGCCCCCAGTCCTCGAGGCGCCAGGGCGGCCCCAGAGCGACCACTGAGGGCGCCAAGAGAGCCCTCCAAACAGCACAAGGGCGCCCGAAGACGGCATTCGACGCCACGACGATGCCCCAATATGGCCCCAGGACGGCCCAAGAGAGCTCAAAGACACCCTACGATGGTCTCAGGACGGCCTAAGACTCTTGGGCCGCTCTGAGACCATCTTAGAGCGTCTTTGAGCCAAGAGGCCCCGAAGACCATCTAGGGTCTAGGGACGTCCTGAGACCATCTTGGGCCGAGAGGCCCCGAAAACGCCCCAAGAGGTCCCCAGGATGACTTCCAAGAGGTCTTCCCTAAGCACAGATCGCTAAAACCTTCAAGTTGTTTGCATTATTTACGTGTTGCCGCCCTGTTCGTCCCCACGACGCTCCAGACGGCCCAAGACGGCCCAAGAGACCCTCAAGAGACTCCCAAGACGGCTCTGGAGGCGCCAAGGGAGCCCCAAGACGGCCCCAGCGGTTACCAAAAAAGGCACCCGACGCACTCCAGACGAGCCAAGAGGCCCCAAAGACGGCCTCACGAGGTGCCCGAAAGACGCCACCCGAGCTGACACGTCGAGCCTTCCATCCCACGATGGCCACAAGAACCCCCAAGAGGCTCCCAAGGCGCCGAAAAAACAGGCTCCTGGAAGCCCCCCAAGGAGCACCCCCGTCGGCAGCGAGGGCCCCAGGCTGAGCCCAGACCGCCGTGGCTGCCGGGCTCCACTTTCGCATCCGTGGCGGCCCCGGTGCGAACCCAACTTCTTCGGCCGCTCCGCCCGCGCCCCACGCTGGGGAGGGCGCGATCCCGACGCGGTTGTTCCAGCGGTGACCTGGCTTGTAAGCGTAAGTGTTTGACGTGCTCGTTTTCGCAGCGCTCGAACGCTCTGGCCCCCGCTTGAACACGTCGGACGCCTCTGGAGGAGGAGCAAGCGCGAAGCGCGCTCCAGAGGATGAGCGGCCGTAGCTAACAGCGTCGCACACGCCCACAAGCGCCGTCGCTCCTCGACCCCCATCTACGCTGCGGATTGAAACCACGGGTCCGCAGTGCACGTATACACACATGTGTGTATAGATGTGTGTATACCTACATAAACACAGTAGATGTATGTGTAGGTCCGCAGTACACATCTACACAGATATGTGTATCGATGTGTGTACACCTACATAAACATAGCAGATGTATGTAAGTGTACATCTACATTCATCCTACACAGGAAACCCGACCTCGGGGGGCCCCGGGCCGCAGGCGGCGCACCGGTGGCGTTCGACACCACTGCTCGACCAGTAGCGTTTCCTGCCGTCGCAGGGGCCTCGGCCTCCCAGATTGGGTCCGAGTAGGTGGGTTCGGACGATCGCGCCGCATCGCTAACGCATCGGCGATGCGGCTTGATGTGGAGCCCGATTTGCTCCACGCTGGCGTCGCCGACACATCGTCGACGCATCGCCGACGCATCGACGATGCATCGGCGATGCGGCGCTATCTTGCGGCCCCGTCTGCTTGAACCTCGTTTGGGAGGCCTCTGGACCAGGAGCGTTTCCGCCGCCGTCGCGGGGGATGAGTCTCCGGCGGCCCCGAACGTGACGACGGCTAGGGCGTCGCGTGGGCCTGTTGAGGATGGCGCATGACGTTACAGGAGGGAAGGCAGAATTTGAATTCGTCTGTGGGGACTCCCGAACGGCGCCGGATCCATTTACGAGAAGGAGGACGAGGAGGAGGAGGAGGAGGAAAAGGAGGACAGGAAGGAGGAACAGGAGGAGTGCCTCGTCCTCATTTTCGTCCTTCTGCTCATGTTCCTGTTTGTCTTTCTTCGATCCGTGGCCGGGCCGCCGTATGGACGGGGGTGTTTCTGTCCGCGAGTGCTGGCTGCATTTTGAGACCGTCTACAGAATGCCGAAAGTGATTGGAGTCGGAGCCGTTTCTCTCTTCGCTTCCTCGTCCTCCTCCCATTTTGATCCTCGACCTCCTTCCTTCGCCTCCCTCTTCATCCCTCCCGCCTCCTTTTCCCTGCTCCATCCTCCTGCTGTTTTCCTCCTGTGCTTTCGCCTCCTCGCTCATCATCGTCTGCCTCCCCACTCCTCTCAGTTTCAAGCTTTTTTCTGTCCAGACTGCTGCTCGCACGTTTCGTGCAGTCAGGAAGTTGGACCACGTCAAGCAGCAGGAGATGCAGAAGTTGCCCTCCTGTGCGCAGTCGGAGGGGCTCCCTGGGTGGGGGCCAGGGGATATCCAGAGAGAGAAGGGAAACGAGGGCCATGAGCGAGAGGGGGGGACGGAAGAGGGGGGGTAGGAAGGAAGGGGAAGGGGACGGACGGTAGGAGGAATGAGGGAGGAGGGCGGAGGAGGAAGAGGATGAAGGTCGGGCCATCGGAGGTTGATGGAGGGTGAGGGCGGAGAATACGACGTCGAAGGAAAAGGTTGGGGCGGAGTCGAAATTGGACAGAGCTGCTCCAGTGGAGGCGCCCGAGCTGGAGAAGCTCCGGACGAAGGCGCCTTCGTCGCTCTGCTCCTTCTCCCCCTCCCTGCCCCTCCCCCCCCCTTCCGCTGGTGGTCAGCGAGAGCTCCGCGTGCTTGCTGCGGCACCCGAGCGCCAGTCGAGCCTTGAGGCCAGATCCTTGCGGTCGATCGTGGTCCCCCTTCTCTCCTCGGTGATGGCCTTCCCGCTCTCTCGTCGGGGTGCGCTCCGTCGCTGGCCGCTGCGGATGCTGGCCCGTCACTGGGATGCCAGGAGCTCTTCTCCGATGAGCCGCCCACCGTGCTGTACTCTGACGCTCTCGGGCATCCCCCCCCGCGGGTCGCTCTCATCCCACTTTCCCCCCTCTCCCCCGCTTGCCTCCACACTTTGTCGTCTAGCGACGGTCGGGGACATACATCCCCCCTGGAAAGGTAATGCTACCACTCTCCCATTTCTTGGTCCCCGCCCCCCCCCTCCCCCACGTGGACGCCCGAGCTCAATGTTGAGCCAGCCGCGGCTGACGGCGGAAAAATCGGATCGCACGGCGCCCCGCGTGAACACTAAAATGGAGAGGGCACGGGGAGATGGACGGCGCGGGAGAGTTGCACTACTTATTCAGGCTCGTGTAGAAGGGGAGGCGGCTGATCAAATTGTGCACGGGTTTCGCCGCGTCACTCTTCGCGCAGTACCTCCACTCGTTGGAGTGGGGGGTGAGAGCCGGGTGTTGGTAGAACTACCCTTGGCCCAAAGTGTCCCCAGGAGTTCCAAAGAGGCGCCCGTGGCGCATGGCCTCCAGAGCATCTCTCACGAGGCCCAGGGGGGCCCAGGGGCTTCAACATATAGCGAAAAGCTTGGGGCACCTAGGGCCAGGGGCACACTCAGCAACACCCGAGAGAGGGGAGCTCGCCCATCGCGTTCGATCCGAGGCGGGAATTTATACATGACCACCGCCTGGAGGGTCAGTTTTCGGAGCCTCGGCAGGCGGTGGATATGGACAAATTCGGCCCCCCGGGGCCGAAATATATCCATGCCCACCGCCCGTTGGGGCACCAGAACGTCGGTTCCCAGGCGGTGGATATGGATAAGTCCCTGCCTCGCATTCGATCACCATACGTGAGTGCCCCCTCATTTTGTCAGCCCTCTCGCCTCGTCTCCCGCCCTTCCTCCAGGGTGCTCGGAATTTGGGGGCGACCACAAGGGCGGTGCTGACCAGGGGAGGGGGGATATCATGGCCAGGGCCATGATATACTACTACTACTACTACTACTACGACGACGACGACGACGACGACGACGACGACGACGACGACGACGACGACGACGACGACGACGACGACGACGACGACGACGACGACGACGACGACGACGACGACGACGACGACGACGACGACGACGACGACGACGACGACGACGACGGCGGCGGCGGCGCGCGGCGGCGGCGGCGGCGGCGGCGGCGGGCGGCGGCGGCGGCGGCGGCGGCGGCGGCGGCGGCGGCGACGACGACGACGACGACGACGACGACGACGACGACGACGACGACGACGACGACGACGACGACGACGACGACGACGACGACGACGACGACGACGACGACTACTACTACTACTACTACTACTACTACGACGACGACGACGACGACGACGACGACGACTACTACTACTACTACTACGTCGTGTCTTAGTATTGCTCTTGATGCTCTTGTTATTGTTCTTGTCATCGTTCGCATTCTGTCACTGCGTCTTTTGGTCCCCCCCTTGTCTGCCCACATGCCTCGGGCCATGATTTGTGACCCCCCCCCTCTTGGGCGCCCGCCGCATGGACGCCCTGGATCCCGTACTCTCGCTTCCTCTACCGCCGTTCTTCCAGTGTGCTCGGAATATCAGTTGCCGCTGGCCTCCTGGCAGCAGGCGCGCGCAACCAAATGAGGTTTCGCTTTGGCTACGCCCTCGCCTCTCCCCTCCGCTCCCCTTCCCAGGGGGGAGGGGGATGCGAGGGGATGGCCTGCGAATGCATAACTCCTGGGCTCTGGCTGACTAGGATGGCGCTTGTGGAGGAGGACTTCGCCCAGTGCAGGGACACGTTGGAAAATTGCGGCCTCAGTCGTAGACGCCCAGAAGAGTCGGGCTTTCAACACTAAACAGCTTTCGGAAGCCCTTCCAGGCAGTTTGTTTGAGTGTCCGCCGCCGCCGCTTCGATCGCTGCTGCTGGACATCTTCGGCAGTGGTGCAGACACGAGAAGGCCGTCGTTGCCGTACTTCCCCGCTTCTGCAGTGGTTCCCGGGCTCTCTATTGCACAGAGATCCCTCCCAGGCGACGGTCTTTTTGTTACAGCCATTTCCTCCAGGTTCGAGTGCAAGTATCTCTCTCGGTATATATATATATATATATGTATGTGTATATATACACACATGTGTGTATGTATGTATACATAGTGTCTCTCTCTCTCTCTTCATCCCTGTCTCTTTCTCTCTCTCTCTCTCTTTCTCGTTCTCTCTCTATCTCTCTTTCTTATTCGGCAGATTGTTCGACTCGCGCTGGCGTTCTGTGGAGGTTGACGCGCATTGGCCTCAGCGCCCCCCCCTCTCGAGGCCATGAGTCCAGGATCACAGCTGTCGCCAGTGCACTAATCGACTCGAGTGGTCACCTGAGTTGTTCGGACAATCAGGCACGCACATCATCACGCAAATGTCACACGCAGCCTTGCAAGGTCTGTCTCTCGGGCATCGGGCTTCGGAATGTTCAGATCTGCGCAATGTGGGGCAGGGAGAGGTGGATGTCCAGGTTAGTGTTTCCTGCTGTATACTCTCTCCTGGTTGACTGTCTCTGTTTTCCTGTTCTGCGCCACTCTTCCCTGAAGGCTGTGGCGAGAATAAAAGACTTCCTGTTGCAGAAGATTAACGCCTTGAAAAAGCCCAAGACGAACCTGCAGATCTTGCAGAGGACCTGCTTCGACATGTGTTTCAGCTTTTCTCTCGGATTTCAAGTGCTTGCCAGAGGAATTCTCCCGACTACATTGTTGGCAGGACTCGCAAATGTGGGACGTCGAGGAACATCGGTCAAGGTTTGCGGAGGCCGTGGCTGTTGGTGACATTGGGGATGTATACGTGTTCTGCGCGAGCGTGCGAAACAACGGAGGCATTTGGGAAGACCACGTGATATCGGGGAGCCACGTCATACAAATGAGCCTTGCGCACGTTCAACATTCAGAGCTCTGGTCATCGCTCGTGCTCGCAACGACAGTCTAGGCGTGCTCTTCCGATTATGATACCTTCCCCCGCCCCCCATCGTCCGTCGGTCCTGTGTACCGTCGTCCACACGCTATTGTGGCACCCACATCGTCAAGGCGCGATCGACCAGATACAAGCCGCATGCGTACTTCTGTTGAGTGATTCGAGTGTTGCCTCGTCCTCGGGGTCCTGCTCGTCTCTCCCCCCTCCTCGCCCCTTGCTGTGTCCGAGGTGTGAAAGTCTGGCCGTTCAGGCGTCGGGGATATTTACACAATCACGCCCCGCTGTCTCTCCGGGATCAAGGTTCGAAGCATGGTCTTGCCTACTGCAGGTCGGTTTGTGTCGCGCTCAGAGTTTGCCTGTTGTTTGACGCCGTCGTCGCGTGTCCTCGCCCTGTCTCCTCTGCCCTCCCTCTCTCCTCTCTCGTGCACCCCTTCCCCAGCGGCCCTCTTTCTGCGTTAGTCAGGCTCGGTGGCGATCGCTAGGCCACGTTGCGTCGGTGCTGTGGTGTCCGCTCCTCTCGCTCCTCCTGAAGGACTGCGTCGAAAAACATGGCAGTAACCACAACTGGCGCCCCAGGAGGATCGGCCCCCCTTGCGCGGTCGTGCGGGCCGCCTCGTGCGCTGCTGCCAGTCTGGTGGGGGGTTCAGCTCTGGGGTGCACGTGCCTGGGTGGCCGCGGTGCACCCAGGGCACTCGGGGCAGGGGCAGCCCAGAGCACTCGGAAGTTCGACGATGGGGCCCTGAGTGGCGTGGGCCGCCGGACGGGCGAGGGGTTTCGCGGCGGATCCTGCCCCGCTCAGGGCTGGCTCGCCCAGGGGCCCCATCTCTGAAGTGCCGAGATAGCCTCGCCGCGTGCACAGTTGGGGGGGGTCCAGGCCACCTCCGAGGCCTGCGTGTCGGGGGCCCGCCCTTCGCTGGCCTCGGTCGGAGGCGCCCGGGCTCGGCCTCCCCGCGCGGGGTGCAGATCGGCCCGCGGGGGGCGGCCGCAGGCTGAGGACCTCCGGGGGGTGGGCTGCCCGAGCTGGCTCCCGCCGCAGGCGGGAGCTCCGCGTCGCGCGTCGGCGTTTCTCCCCCTCCGTTCGCGTCCTTCTCCTCTCCTCCTCCACATCCTCCTGCTGCTGCTGCTCCTCCTCCTCATATTCCTCCTATTCCTCCTCTTCCTCCTCCGCCTGCTCATGCTCTTCCATGCCATTTTAACAAGCAACTCCTTCCTGTCGCACCCCCAGGGTTGTCGGTAGGGCGGGCCAGGCGTCTCGCTTGAGATGTCCTCACCATGCTCTTGAAGTTTGGCATGTGCACCATGTTCACGGATGGAGGACGGGTCGTTTTCAAAATATGGTTCTCGCTTCAGCGCTTCGCACATTCGTTTTAAAGCTCGTGGCAGCTTCTAGGATGTGGCGCGTTTTTTTTCCCAAATGTCGTTCCCGCGTTAGTGCAGCGCACATTCGTCCTCAATGTTGCCAGGATTTCTAGGATGGAGTGCAGGTCCCTTTCAACATGAGGTTCTCGCATTAGCGCCGCGCACATTCGTCTTACGAGTTTTGCGGTAGATGCAAGGATGGAGGGCGGGTGGCTTTCTACGTGTTGCGTCCGCGTATCGCCGCGCACATTCGTTTTAGAATTATGCAGCATGTTCAATGACGGAGTGTGGCCCCTTTTCAACATGTGGCTCTCGCTTCGTCGACGCGCATAACATCAGTTTCAATGATCCGTATGGTTACTGAAGTCCGAGGAATGGTGCTCTGGCGCCATTCAGGATTGTTAGGACGCAACAGTATAGTTGATTCGCGGTTCCGTGGCCATTTTGGGTCAAGGCGGCGCCAGATTTCGCTTGCTTTCTCTGGAGGTCACTGGTGCGAGGTCACCGTCACAATGAGCGAACCCGAACACGCTGTGCCCGCGTCGCCGCCGTCTCGCCTCCAGACTCCTGCGCACGAGCGCGGGGAGCCTCGGACGCTCTCCCCGCAGCTTCCCCACAGAAGCAGCACTGGGAGCAAGATCTGGGGCGACGGCGCCGCGGCCGCCAGGGCCGCGGTCTCGGACCCGTTCGCCGACGCCGTGCGCTCGGCCGTGCGCGCGGAGCTGCAGGACTGCCTCGGCGGGCCCATGCGATAGGTGCTGCGGACGGAGAATTGTTGCGGCCTTGCAAGGTGGGCTCAGCCATTTGGGTGGGAAGGCGACCCCTCGGGCTGGCGTCGTCCAGCATCGTGGGAAACCCTCCCGCTGGCGGTGGCGAAGGTGGTTCCATTGCGCCACCCGTTGGCGGAGCGGCAGAGATCCCCACGGCGGGCCGCCAGGCTTCAACCCGATATGGTAGCGAATCCGTTGTGGACTCATCAGGTTCAGACAGGGATGGCGAAGGGTCCCCTCAAGGCGCTCAAGACGCTGACCTGCATGGCTTGCGGCACCTTGACAGTTTCCCCACCGCGAGCGATTGGGAAGACGAGGTCAAATATGCGCGCGACCTGGGAGCAAAGCTCAGCAGTAGGTCGAGAACGCTGTCGAAGAAGTTGCGCCGCCACGTGCGGTGACCGAATCAGGAGCCGCAGCGCTCGGGGAGGCTTGCCCGCTTCGTGGATGGCTGGGGCTTCAAGTTGCTCACCCGCTTTCTGCGAGATTCGCCAACCTCAGGTCCATTGTCCAAGATGCGAACGTTAAGATCAGAAGCCCGGCCGATCGCAGCATGCTGGCCGTAGATGTGTTATTTTCGGTAGTATAGAGTAGCTCGCAAACTCGCTGAGCACAGGCTCTGGGGCTTCGTTTCTTCTGTGGAGCGAATTGGAAGGTCACCATGATCGACATGCTGGTGCTAATCTTCGATGGTGCCACTTTTGTGTTGGGCGCTACTACGGTTCGGGTAGGCTGCATTAAAGCAGCACGTTTTCTGAAGCAGGTGCCTCATGTATTCGAGCTCATGCACCACGGGGAATATCGACAAGGTTTCACGATTTGCATACCGGGTTCACTTTCGAGCTTCCTGTGGTGTACGGTTATGCTTTTCACAGTATGCGGGGTGTTATCGCTTGTATGCATGCAGGGCACCACCACTTACATCGACTCAACAGGAGAAGCTGTAGATGATACGGCCTTTGGCGAGCTCTTCGGTTCTTTCTGACATTCAGCCAATACTGTCTTCATGCCAAACACGGGTGGCGATGACCGGAAAACCGTGTACGAAGTGATTGAGGAAACATTTCCGATAGGTTGTTTCGTACAATTCGCATTCACTGCGCTTGTGAACTTGAACATTCTAGGCTCCTGGATGGGGTCGGAGTAGACGGGGTCGGAGGATGGCGCCGCATCGCCGATGCGGCTCGACGTGGGGCCCGATTTGCGTCGCGTCGACGTCGCCGATGCATCGCCGACGTCGACGACGCATCGCCAGTGCATCGCCGACGCATCGCCAATGCATCGTCGATGCATCGCCGATGCATCGGCGATGCGGCGCGATCGCTGCATGATCTTTTGGAAACACCACCTCGGTGAGACCAGCATCATACGTCACGACGGCCTCCACCACCGAATGGTCGGCATCGGGGCCCCATCGGCCACGATCCTTTCGGCCCACGGCCCAGCGGGGCCAACCGTGCCTGCTTCCCGGAAGCTGTTGACTACATCCAGAACCTCGGCCACGCGGGTTACCCCGTCTACGTGGTGGGGGGGCCCAACTGGCGACCACTGTGCAACGCCCGCGCGAACCGCTGGCCGCGCAGCGCTGTCCTCCCTGGACTGGGCCCAGCGACTACCGCAATGGGAACTACTCCGACACGCGCCTTGTGCTTTGGTTTTGGCAAGGCCCCCGTCCACTTGGCCGCCGCGCTCCCCCCATGGTTTCCCTCGCTATGGGCTTGTCTCCAACGTGGTCGACGTCCCGCCCTCGTCGTGCAACGCCATGCGCACCCACCGCGCGGCCCCCTTCGCCGCGCTCCACTCGTGCTCGAACGCCGAGAAGCAGGTTCTCCAAGAGTTGGTCGACCAGGACATGGGGCCCCCGCTGCCCCGCCAGTTCGGCGACGAGGACGACGTCTCCCTGTCCGACCGCCGGGCCCGCTTGCACGGGCCCCATGGGCGCGCCGTGCGCGCGATGATGGTTGCCGCGGAGCGAGGGGCCCTGTCTTTAGAACGTGAACCAGAACGCCCCAAGGGGTCGCCGCCTTCGACTCGACCGACGGCCCACTCCCAATCAGCGGCAATATTGATCGATCGCAATCCGCCGTCTATTACGTCTCCATCTCCGCTCGCGCCGACGACGAAGCTCCCCCCCCTGCACTACGAGCAGGTTGCGCGAGCAGCTGTCGACCATGGCCTTCCTTTTCAAGCAGTGGGCCGCCCGACCTACGGCGACGCCCTCGCCTGGGTCTCTCGCTCTATCACCGAGCATCAGCAGATCCAGCAGAAGCAAAACCACATGGCTTGGAGGCATCGCTTCGCCACCTGACCCAACGAGGCCCGGGCGGCGGCCACCCTCGTGTTTCGGGGCCCCACACCGGCAGCAGCGATGGCGGCCGGAGAGATGAGGAAGCCATGGCGCGCTCAGTGGTGCCCCGACAACTACGCACCATACGCGAACAGGGAGCCCGACCTCGAGGGCCTCATCGCCGCGATCGGGAAAGCCGAGGGGCGTCCAAGACCAGGCGGCCGGAGCTGCCGCGAGCCGCGAGGCATGCCCAAGATCTACCCCACCATCGCCAGAGAGCTGTTCGACCCATGG